GGCTTTACATGTAACATTTGATTATCGCTTGCTTAAATTAGGTACTAATTGACTATATACCTGGCTCTTTCTATTGTCTTATAGTAAAGAGAGAGAGAAAGAGTGAGAGCAACGTTAAGAACTTTAGGACATTCCAGACCTAGTGTTCTCACTAGGATCAATACAGCCCATGATCAATGCGTTTTGTTTAAATTTTTACAATTTTAAAGTCTAATAATTTAATTTCTAACGAAAATTTTAGTATTTTATGTTCGGCCGTATTAGATGATATTCTGTTAAAACTAATGTCAGTTTAAACTTAAATATATTTATCGTTTCTACGATATATTTTTTTGCCTATGAAGTCTTTATTATTGTTTTACGTTATTACATGGCCACAATAATAAATTAATAGCTTATATACATTGCCATTTGGTTGGCAGGTTATTTCACATTCCTGAGAGGTATGTGCAATAAAGAGTCTGTCCTGCCGCGCTGCCCGAATGCGCGTTGTAGAATTCATGTATCCCTAATTTTGCTTTAAATTTCCCAAATAATCTTTCTTTACGATGTGGTCCTTTATTATCGAGCACGTAATAAATCGGCACTTAAACTGCAATTAACAATCTCATTGGCGGCGGATACAGAAGTTGCTAGCGTAATATAAAATTTGAGACTATGTGGTGTTGATTCTCCAAAATGTGATATTTTGAGAATATCACATATTTCGAAAATGACTAGTTTGCGAATAGAATATTTTGAGAATATCATATTATGATAATGAAGCTAGCTTTTATCCCATGACCTATCACGGCCTTGAAAACGTTACTACATAAACTATTATTTTTCATTTATATTACTATTATTTTTAACCACTCCTGGTAAGATCAAAACGGATGTGTTAGTAGTCAAGACAGTAGTCCAATGGCGGATTAGATCGCACGAATTTTTGAGTTAGCGGTCCATTTCCTGCCATCAGGCACTCTACATTACTAAAACTAAAATTGTTATAAGGTGACAACTATTCAGCGCAACAATATGAAAAGAAAATAGCTCTGCAGATATTCATCTGTAAAAGACGTGTCATTAAGTCTGTTAGCACAAATAAGGTCCATAACGAAGGGTTTCAACATTGTTGCTTCGTAACATATAATTTAAATGTTATACAATACTATTGTTTGGTATTTACATTCTCAAAGGCATAAACCATCTGAACGACTTTTCCAAGCATATTTCCGCAATAATTATACAATATTGTTTTGTTTGCATTTGTTTTTGTAAGTTAGTGGTAGAGCCACGCTGCAGTTATATTATGGTAGTAGCACGAATGAGTCGGCTCGACCGGGGAAGGACCACGCTCTGACAGAATATCAGAGTAAACTAGCAGCTTAATGCTGCTGTGTTTATCCTATAGTGAGTGTAGAGAACCGGAGACCCTTCTTACTGGAAACGAGGAATTCTATCAAACTCCTCAGGGGTGACAACGCATCTGCATTTTGATTCTTAATTGAGGTTAAATGAAGATGACTATGGGCCACAGCATCCACTTACCATCAGGTGGACTGTGTGCTCGTTAGTCACTATTATTCTATAGACAAAGTACTTGTAGATTGTAGCGAGGTACAATCAAATAAGTAATTAATGAATATCATAACAAGCAACATAGATAACAACAACAATTTTTTCGCGTGTACAGTACTGGAGATTCGATTACGACTCATTCACAAAGTTACGTAAAACGACGCTTGGAAATGAAACGGTAACCTACACGTAATTATAACAGTTCCAAATAGTTGCCTGTTCATATCCATATATCTGTGAAATTGGATTGACCAACGGAACCGCGGGATGTTGCAAAAACGATACGTGCTATTTGTAGGCAAGGAATGTATTCGCGTGAGAATTGGATAAACTGCTGTTATTAAGGCATTAGTTGAATGACATACGAAATTTTTGACGAAATATAGCGCGGAATCCTAAGGCCACATTTTAAAAGGAACCATGGTTGTGCGAAGGACCTGTTTTATTACTTGTTAATTTTTTAACACGTTTTATTAGGTTGAAATATGTATATGTTCAAATGTAGCGGCGAAACATTAACGGGGGGGTCTATTATAAATAAAGCGATGTGTGAATGCAAATTATGCACAAAAGAGACAATAGATTTTAGCAATAGATCAGTGAATAGAAATGAAAGTGAGGGAAATAAATATTTTAAACAAATTTAAGGACTGACTGTGCTTAATCGACGGAGATAAGGGGTTTTGAAGTTAGGTTCCAAGTATAGAGAAACATTTATAATATTATGTAGTGGAGTGTACCGAAAATTAGAAGAATAGGTGTTCCTTGAACCATAGTATACCGTCAAAAGTCTAGTAATTTTAGATTTAGCTGATAAAGCATCTCTCGGTACTATCTAAATAACTGTAATGATGACCATATTAAACGATATTTTGCATACAACTATGATGTAGGCGGTCCCATAATGAATTGGCCTAACTATGAACCAATGAAGGAAATGAAACGAAACCAATTTTATTTTTCAATATAATCACCATGAATACTAACACACTTCTGACATCTGTGAATCTACATCTCTAAACCTTTATAAAAATAATCACATTTTTTATCCTCAAAATGACTGAAGACGGCCGCCTGCAACTCTTCATCGCTTGAAAATTGTCTTCCTCTTAAGTCCCGCTTTAAATTTGGAAATAAATAATAGTCGGACGGGGCCATGTCTGGACTGTAAGGTGGATGTTGAACTTCTGTGAACCCGCATTGACGAACTGCATCCTTCGAAACACCAGCGGTATGAACAGGGGCGTTGTCATGGAGCAACAGGACACCTTTAGACAGCTTGCCTCTTCGTTTTTCCTTTATCTTGTCTCGTAATTTATATATTAAAGAAGCATAATATTCGCCGTTCACGACTGTATTACGTTCTTTAAAATCCACCATCAAAATGCCTTGAAAATCCCAAAATATTGTGCACATCAGTTTTTTAGTCGATTGTTGCACCTTTGCCTTTCTAGGGGCTTTTCACCCTTATAACGCCTTTCCATTGACTCGCGCTTGCTTTGTGGATCATAATACAAGATCATAGTTTCATCACCAGTCACTAGCCGCTCGATCACACTATTTGAATTTTCGCCACAAAGATCCAAAAACTCCGAAGCGCAGCGCACTATTTCCTGTCTCTGTACCGCTGAAAGAAGTTTCGGTACCCATCTTGCACTCACTTTTTTCATGTGAAGATGGTCATGGATCGCGCGATGAACGGTACTCTTAGAGAGCCCAAGCCTTGCTGCAATTTCTCTAATCATCAAACGGCGGTCACTCAGAACCTCCTCTTCGATAAGAGCAATCGTTTCGGGAATGAGCACTTCCACAGGTCGACCGTCGTGGCCAAAGTCTTCGACGGTTTCTCTCCCGAGGCGAAACTCTTTCACCCAATTTTTCACTGTGCTATAGGAGGAGGCAGACTCCTTATACACGCCATCCAATCGTTCTTTTATTTGGGCAGGGGATAAACCTTCTTTAAACAGAAACTTTATGACACTTCGATACTCAGTTTTCGACATTTTGAAAAAATACGCGACTCTCGTTATTCAAATGCCTGTTAAACTAAGACTAAGCATTTCATGTCGATGCATGTTTCTTATATTAAGTGCACGATAAACGTACTATTTAATGCAACACAACATGTAGCGACATGTCGCGTTGAACTATATCAGGCCAGTTCATTATGGGACCGCCTGGTATGTGACCCGTGGTAGTTCAGTGGTTTAGTGGTCGCTGTAAATTTCACAGTACGCGAGAGCAATTCCGGTTCAATCCCCGCCAATCATCAATGAAATTGTTAATTATAATTTTAAGTGCTGATTTGTCATATGCTTGGCTATGATGAAAAACATCGTGAAGAAACCCGCATATTTGAGAAAAGACTTGGGAACTCCGCCAACACTCAGTGCGGCACAGCGGCGGATATTTCCTTGCCCAAAATCCCTCTCAGAAGTGAGAGGAGGCCTGTGCCCACCAGTTGGATGTATATAGGCTGTATCTTTACTTTACTTTTATTACAAAATGTTCCTAAGTTAAAAGGGTGTCAATTGAAGTTTCTTTGTTATAATATTTTGTACTCATAAAAGGCTACATAATTAATTAGAGCTGTGTTAATATTCGCAAGACGTTCCCTATTTCATATTTAATAGTGAAAGCGTTAGTGCTTCGGATGTAAAACAAAACTAGTCTCCAACTGTATTTGCACACGTTATAGATAGATATGATGTATTTCATTGATAAAGCCTGTTGTAGTCGACCTTTATAGAGGTCTGCGATGTTGTGAAACAACGTAATACTTGTCTGTGTACTTTGTTCTATGCAACGTAAACAAGCTGTTTACCGAGGCATTTCGTCGCAGTTCTTAAGCAAATATTGGTAATTATTACTACGTCGATGACAACGCATCTCTATTTTAATTCTTAATTAATAGATTGGTAACAATATTAGGAGAGATGTAGGTGTCTATGGATCACAGCATCCACTTTCTATAAAGTGGTCTGTGTGCTCGTTTGCTACCCTTCTTTTTATAAAAATTGTAAGATGTCCTGCATTGTTCAATAAATGTCTAAACATGAAAAATTGGTACTAGGTTCAAGCATATGCAATGCTTAAATTAAATAATTGTTTTTATCTTTTAACTTTAGTCTTTAAAAAAATGTTTACCTATTTGCGCCACTAATGAGTGTTAAAATTTTCTTAAATTTGAAAAAAAAAACTTAAGATTTTAGAAGTGAACTACTACACAGCTATAAATATTAAACATCTAACTGTGGCTCCATAAGTCTAGGTCTTTGAGACTTATACAGATCTACGAACTCAGACCCACCCAGCTTTATCAATAATTAATTAAACATTCACGCTGATATAGATTGTATATGAATGTGTTAAAAGCGAAAAAGGCATGCAGTTTTTGAAAGTAGCGTAGCAAGTTGCGTTACAAATATAACCGGACTCACTGTATGCCCCACCAAGCCTTCTTCGTGTAAAATTGCGCGGCGTAGTTTGGTCATTACGCGCCGCCGTTCTGTTCGAATATGGCCGCCGAGTTTGTATTTCTGCATCTTTTTCCTCTTCCCGCGTTTTCTCGTCTACTTCTTTTTCTGCACCATCTTTTTGGGACTTGAATGTGGAATTCCCGCGGCTATTGTATTTGTTTGTGCTGGTTTCAATGTTATCTGTTGCGGCCGTGTTGGCGTCCGTGGTGACTGGAACTGTGGTGGGCTTGGTACGTCGGAAGAAGTTGCTTCTTGTGACCTGTGGACAAACAAAATGATCGGTTAGTTTAATATTAATGTATTATTTAATCAGTTAACTTATATAGTAATCATACATATTAATTCATAGTAATAAACGTACTAGGTATATAGTGACGGTTTCGTAGCCCGGTTCGATTATGATGCTGCTGGTCGCGGATTCGATTCCTTTACGAGGTATAAATATTTTAGTTAATTAGTATCTAGATTCCATGTCTGGATATTTTTTTATATGCAATTTGTGCCCGTAAACGATACAGAACATATCATACAGTGCTTAACGTTTTTAATAAAATCAAAATTCAACCCCCATGATATTATGTATGTTTGTATTATTTAACAAAATTATTGGTTTTATTAACAATTAATACATAATTTTATTACAAAGGTAAAAAGATCAGGGTAAAGTTACCATTATTTTATAAAAACATTTTTTTTTATTTGATACACGGTGAATATTATGACACCATTTTATAATAGGTACTGTAAATATATGTAATTTTAACGTTTTTTTTTAATTTCTGGCTTAGTTTCTATTATCTTTGGTTTAAATATGAAATCAAGATGAAAATATTATCATAATAATTGTTGGTGGTGAACTGATAACTTTTAATTAGGTATAAATTTTATATATTTTAAAAGTAATGGTGACTTTTTTCTTGATCTCTGAGGGTGTGTATACGGGGTGTGTAGATACGGACATAATCACAAACAGGGTTAGATTAACCTAAAGACATAAACTACCATTAAACTGTTGATAAACTGCTTGTACATTTCCAATGGGCCCCGTATCTCTTAAAGACACGGCCTTAGAAAGAACGTTTTTACTGTAGGCAGTTGCAAAAGGCAGTGGCTCGATACTTGTATCAGTAATGGGGCTATTCATGACTCTAATCATAACAACTATATTAAAACCAAATGCCCCTTCGGACAGCGTATTATACAAAATACTTCCTAGGTAAATAAGAACGTGAGACTGCGGTTTACATTGCGGTTAAAATTACAGATTTAGAAACATCTGTAATTACCTACTTAAGGATGGTGTAGATTAGTTTTTTACGTATGACGTTTATATTTATAATGATCGATATATCGAAAATCCACTATTTAAAAAAATATCAACAACTTTAGTTCGAACTGATCAGTTGGACTGATTGTGTGTGGGGTCTATTACGTTTATGCTGGTTGCTGGGATTAGTGGTGATGGGGATAGTACACGCAATTGAGGGAGGGCGGGTGGTGCTCCTCTGCAGACTAGGGATGATATTATTATTTTATTTTATTACGGGATATAAGCAAGCTAATTTTTAAGACCTCTAAAAATGAAGTGACAAACGAACCCGCACTAAGGCTAAAAGTCATCCTAGTCCTTGAACACCTGCAGCTGACTTCAAACAAAGAAAGGAGAAGTTACATATGCATGGGATCTAGATGTAATGCCCTACCTGTAATTGTACTGGTTCTTTATAACCCTTAGACCGGCACAAAGCAGGGCGATAAAAGTATGCTTTGCTATCATGATCTAGACGAACTCTTAGACTGATAAAGAGTCTTAAACAAATCTTATATTATAATAAATAACTTTCAAATTACTCTACTTAATCGTTTTATTTCACACCGGTTAAAACTGACTAGATTTTTGTTTTTAATTTTGATGCACACAACGTGTAAAGGTATTTAAATATATTATATAAGTGGAAAGTCGAAGATTTACATTCTAGTTAGTTGATGTAAATAGTTTTGTTTAAGGATTAATAATGACGATTAATATTATAAAGATTTTTATACAGTATCCACTTACCATCAGGTCCACCTGATGGTAAGTGGTTTCTGTGGCCCATAGACATCTACATTCAGCCTCGAATACGAAATGCGGATGCGTTCTCATCCGCGAGGACTACGATGGCATGCCTCGTGTCCAGTAAAAAGGGTCTCCAGATCTCTACACTCATCATAGGACACAGCTGTTATTTTACGCTGATATTCTGTAAAAGCGTGGTCCTTGCCCGATCGAGCCGACCCATTGTGCTACAACCATAATATAACTGCAGCGTAGTACTACTAACTACTCACAAAAACAAATGCAAGCAAAACAATATTGTATAATATTGCTTTGTTTGCATTTAACGATTGCATTGCACTTTACGAATCAAAATACAGATGCGTTCACACCCGCAAGGACTAAGATGGTATGCCTCGTTTACAGTAATAGGGATTTAGTAAGGTTTCGTGTGGATGCGGCATTAGATAATCAATACCGCCCGTCGTCTCGTAGTAGTAAACTTCCGAGATAGGACGGCAAACAGCGTCAGAGATACGAGATGTCTAGTGCTGCAACCAACGCAAATCCTTTCTCTACGGGTAAGAGACACGTCCAGCATAAGGCGTAGTGGCTTAGCAAATACTTGTTCCGGGTCTAAATGTTCGTCCTTGTGTAATTTATGTTTGTAAATTGCTTCCACGATACAGGAGAAAATCCTAGAGTGGGGTGACGTTTAAAAAAAAACGATATACGATATATATATACTAAGCGGCATAGAGAATATAAAGATCCTTACAAGAACTTAAAATATTATAGAGTTATAAAATATTGTAGAGTCGCCATGATATATTTTATTGTGTAATAAACAATACGATAACAATCAGCCATAGATTTGCAACACGTAAAGTGTATATTGAAAACAGTGTTAGTAGGCTTTAAGATCGTGATAATTTAGATTGTAAGCTATAATTTATTCTATGTTGGAAGAGCTAAGTGAATGTTAACTGAACGTAGCTTCACGACCAGTCGCTTTTTTCTTTAGAATTGAATTTTACCGACTTTAAATTAAAAAAAGCCCTTAGTCATTTAAGCCTGTTTAAGGGGTAATATTTAATGTCTAATTAAAGTTAGAAATATAAAGTTACAGGCTACATACAGCCCACAGCGTGGCACAGGCCTTCTCTCATTTCTGAGAGTTTTATGGCAAGGAAATATCCGGCGTGCTATCCCAATACGTGTAGGCGCACTTCACATGTTATTGTATTTTTTTTTAATTCGTCAAACGTGCAAAATTAATAATAATTATAAAGCCTAAGTTCTATATGGCTTATATTATGCGTATGAGCTTTAATGAATAAATAAACTGGCACAGAATGCGTAATAGTACAAGCACTAATGGTTACTTTATTGCATAAAAAGCTGCTTCCTGTAATTACCAGAAGACGTTAACTTATAAACTAAGTGTTTACATTCTACTGTTGTATCACACATTAATATTTACGTAATGACGAAAATAAATTAAGAGTTGAGTCTCTAATTTGGGTTAATTAACGAAATAATTAACTAATTAATTCCCTCTAAATCATGCAAATGGGGTCTAGCAATATTATTAAACTGTAAATGTGAAGCTTAATCGTTTTCGTTTCGATTTTAATAAGCTTTTGCTATGGGGGTAGGCACTTGCTTTAAAACGAACCGAGTTCGATCCACGACGGCGCCAATGACATTAATAATTTGCCTTGAACCTCAAGTTGTAGGGAGATTTCTTATAATTATTACGCATTTATATTGGAGATCGCATTACGTCTTGTACCTTTATTATGTAATAAGGATGACAAACGAGTACATAGTCCACCTGATGCTAAGTGGATACTGTAGCCCATATACGTCTACATATATCCTCGATAAGAATCAAAACGTAGATGCGTTGTGGAGGAAACGAGGCATTCCATCATAGTAAAATGGAATGCCTCGTTTCCAGTAAAAAGGGTCTACGGTTCTCTACACTCATCATACGAAACACAGCAGCATTAAGCTACTATTTTACGCTGGTATTCTGTGAGAGCATGGACCTTCCCCGGTCGAGCCAACCCATTCGTGCTGCAACCACAATATAGATGCAGCATGGCTCTACCACGTAAACAGAATATAAAATAATACTACACAAGTTAGCAGTAAGTTTATTCATTTAAAGAGAAATTAAACTGGGGCACGTTTAAAACTGAGTTATTTAACTGGTTAATTTTTACATTCACTTTTAAAAACTGGAAATGAATAAGTGATTTTATAAATTATAAAAATATGAATATGTTATCCGTAACACATACCAATTTTAATTGGCTTTATATTTAATTAAATAATATAAAGTACCGAAACTAATTTTAGAATTATTTGCGGTCTGACATACAGACAAATGGAATTATTACACCAGATATAGTTAAATTTACGTAAATAAAACCATATACTTATTTTGAACATAACATCTAGGTACTGATTCTGTTTATCCGAGCACGATATGCCGGAATGCAGTGCGCAGACACGTCGACGTCAAACCCTTAAAGAAAATTTGTTGTTGCACATTCGTTGGCTCCGGTCATTGCAATCGACCAATAAACCACGTGGTCATCATATACGTACAGTCTATTAAAGTCCACTATTGAAATAGGCCTACTCCATTGATTACCTCATCAGGTGGATATTTGCCATATTTGCCACGCTTGCCAAGCGGGTTGGCAACCTCTGTTTTTTTTTAATTTTAGTCGTAATTAGGAAGACCCATGCCCATCTCCTGATTTGTTTCCCTGTGTCTCCACTTACGACACTCACGGGATGACATGGGGTATTGGATTTCTTACACCGCCACTACACGGTAATTGATTCTGATAGTTGGAATGCTTAACCGATTTTGCTACACCCTCGACCGACACACTCGAGATAAAGTGATGTTTTTTCTAACCCCGCAACCACACAATTCTTACGATTAAATATTCAACAGCAAACATTGCTCCAATATCCTTGAACTCTTGACTTGTCAGAAAATTCAAGCTATTTTGACTTCGCAAACAAGTTGGCTAACACGTTTCTTTGAATTTTGTTATTGAACTTGCACTTTGGATATATCAGTTTAAAATTCAATATGGTAACAACTATGACATGTTAAGTATAGCGCGAAACTATACTTTTGTCGGTTAGTTTTTGAAGTGAAACTTTGAAACTCGACGTAGTTTAAATTTAGTAGTTTTTTTTTTAAATTTAGTACGATATTAAAAATTTAAAACGTCACGTTTTCTTGTAACGTTCAAGGCCAGGGCTGCAATAAGTATACTATTATTTAATCTACTCAAGTAAAATAGAAGAATACTATGTCGTAAAGTAGTTTCAATTCGTACGTCTGAACACAATTATACGCACAATTTTTTTCTTCTTTTCCTTCGTGGCGTTAACAAAATTCAGCCAGTGCAAAATAGTTTTTTTCAACACTATTTTTTTAAATTTTAGTTAGTGAATATCGCATTAAAACGAACCTTAAATTTTCCATACGGGCAACTTTCAAAATTTATTAAGATACGTTTTGTAGACACGATAGAGTTACGAAAAGTTTTTACGCAAGCGTTGCGTAATTCTGGTTACAAAATAATATATAACCAAATTCAATCAACAGTGTGAAATCAAAATAGGTTTTACGTGCATTATAATAAGTCTATTATCACAAAAAAACCGCAATACCACGCTACGTGATGAAGGTATGGTTACTGTTATCGCTACAGCCTATTAAAGTCCACTGCTGAGCATAAGCCTCCCCCATATTGCGGTCATAGGGGGGATATTTGCTATAGTTGCCAAGAAGACGCTGCTCTCCATCTCCTGATTTGTATCCCTCTGTCGTCTTTCACGACAGCCGCTAGAAAGTTAATCAAATAACATTTATTATTTTTGAGTGCCGTGGGTTGGTTGTTTAGTTGATTACGAAGAATTTTTATATAGCACAATTCTTCGTAATCAATAGCATATTAGAGGCACATGCAATGATTGCAAACAAGAATTCGTTTTATAATATTATTTTTAATTAAGAAACTGTGTCCCAAGCCTACTGCATCACAAATAAGTTTTTATTAAATTGTAAA